CAGCACGACCGGTACTTCAATCAATTGTGTCCGCATGAGAGGTCATCTGAGGAGGGGCTTGGGTCCCGGTGCCGGATGTTCCATAGTGATCCCACTCCCCCGTCGTGTCCGGTTTTATCCAGCTCATACCAGACCCCTTCCGTCCTGTCAGACTGCCACGGTAACTGTGATAATCATCCCCACGATGGCGAGATAGCAATTCCCTAGCTTCCAAATTCGCACTTTTTATTCATCTGTCAAGATGGATCACAGCCTCGCTGACTTGGTGACTTCTCTGTGGAGCACCGACTTATTTTACAATCATCTGTGGTGACCACTTGTCTTTGCTGCTCCTGACCCGAGTCAGTGCCACAGTCATAGCGAACCAGCGAGTCTTCTTGAAGCACCTTGAGTGTGGCTGGTCAATTAGGCAAGGGAGCGCCACCAGGTCCAAGGAGCTGACCAATGACGGCCTTTTCTGGCGATCCACCAACTGGCGGTCACACTGGCCCTAATGACATCACCCCTTTCTCCGTGACGTCACCGGACCACGGACATGACGTCACTGTGAAACTGGATACGACATCAAGTTGGCTGTATGGGCTAATGACATAGTTTCGTCGCCATATTTTTGGCTATGGGAAAGTTTCAATGCATGGCTCGAAGTTTGGAGTAGGGAGGCCTCACAATGAGCATTAGGCACATTGTTCGTGGCACCAAACTGTCGTTTAGATTTTCTGGGAAATTGGAGCTAATAGCTCACAGCTTTCCGTTGTATCTCAAAATAAATTAATTCTTGAACTCTATCAGGTGTAAGAAATCGCTCGAAAACAACTGGAGGCTGCGTGAATAGGTACGTTTAACGGGCAACTATCAATCCCCCGATTGGATGGCATTGGACCATGTTGCTGCTGGATTGCTTCCATTCTAATGGTGTTTGGCAGCATAGCAACAGCACCCGCTGTCCCGCCCGGGTTTGAGAACCACCGCCGCTCGTCGAGGACCACTGACTCTCGGAAAAGGCTTTTCGTGTCGGCACGGCAGGCGTCTGAGCGCCTGGGGGCATCTGGCGCGTCTGGTGGCGGTCAGACTGGCCCTGAGGGCCTGAGTGGCGTGACCTCCGGGACTGGCCGGCGGCGGGGGGAGGGGGTGGACAGCCTGTCGCTGTCCGGTTTGGACCGGTGAGGCTGGAGCCGAGCTCGACTGACTGTTTTTGAGTCGCGGATAGGTTTGAGTTGAATCAGTGAGATCGAGATGTCATGTTTGAATTGTATTACTGGTGAGGTGCAAGGTTTTCAGCTGTCAGTGAGCAAGCGTCAGGTGCTCATTGCGTCATTCGTCACTCATGCGTCAAGCGTCATTGGACTGTTCAGTGCTCGGAAGTCTGGTGGACGTAAATTGAATCAACTGGTCGATTAATCGCCTATCTGTAACTCGGAGATTGGATACAGGTACGCCGCCTGCCACCTTGTAAGTTCCTACTCGTATGTGACTGGTCATCCCCACCGCGTCGAGAAGCCAGCAGAGACCCATTAATTCGGAGAATAGAGACACCTGGGCCTGGTTTCATAAAGCAAGTCCGTAGCTTGCGCCGGTTTTTGGTCCTGCATTGCGCGTGCATGTGAAGCGATGGCGATAGTTTGAATCGTTGAATGTATTTATCTTGCAAGCAAGCAATTTATTTATCTTGCAAGCAAGCAAGAACAGAAGGGAGAAGGGGAAATAAATTTATTGCTTCACATGCGCTTGCAATACAAGCCCAAAAACTGGCGGAAGTTACGGACTCGTTTTATGAAACGAGGCCCAGGTAGAGGGCGGATCCTCATGGGTCATCTCATGACGGGCTATCACACAGAGTGATCCCCATTGATCATCTTAGGGCGGTCACCGGGCAACTGTTGCTGGAGGTCCAGATCTTCCCGAGAGCTCCCCATTCTTCCGCGAAATGATGATAGAGGAAGAAGCTTTGCGCACGGCGCTGAATTGGTCCCTAGGGTAGCCCTCGTAGAATGAGCAACCCTGTTGTTTGTGCACACTGATCCCGTTTGCGTGTGTGTGGAGGGTATCACATTGTCCATTATTACATGCACTTCTTTCTCTATGATTATTACATGGTTGTGATTTCCGTGATGAGCAGATCCCTAAGAGCACAACCCAAGCCACACATATGTATGCTAGCGGCGAGCCCAATCATTTCTTCTCCGCGCCGCGCTCAGTGTGGTCTCGATGAAATCTTTTGTTCGTCGGCGCCTTGCCTGGTGCTGCAACCGATTGGACTGGGATGGTCGTGTTTGTTAGAGGGTGCGAGTAAAAACGCCTCCTTCTTTCTCTCCCGTGTGTTTGTGTAGGGTCACTGCAATGGGAAGGCCTGTCCTCGTGTCCATGCCAATATTGCAGTTAACGGTTACTGCAATAGTCTGTTCGTACAGTGGCATGTGTTCAGTGAACAGAGAAAACGGATGGGGATCGCGCTATTGATCTTTTAAAGTTTTCAACTGGCTCAGATTACTATCTCGTACTTTCCGAACAAGACGAGCTATTCGGGAATCGTAGCATCATTAAAACAGATCTGATCTTTTCCACCTGGTAACTTTATTTCAGGCTGGATGACAAGATCTTGACCATTCAGCCAGAGCGGCCTGAGCTTGTGGAACAATTGGCTGTTATTCACATTTGCACACCCACGCGCCTTCCCGCTTTGCAGCGCAATTATTTCCCCAAGAACTTGTTCCGAAACATCGCCTGTTCCTTATCTACTTGCATCTCATTCTCATCAGAATGCTGCGCGTAGATGAAGCGTGTGCTGCAGTTTTCCCTTCGCTTTCGTGACTTCATCTCATCGGTTCATGCCCGCGTGCCGGAGCTCTGCCGTGCTGCAGCCCCGGTGATTGAACCAACGCCCTTGGGCTGCTCTTGAACTTGCGAGCCGCTCCTCTGGCTCTGTCTGCAGAGCGACGGAGTGTTATCCGCTCCCCATTTCGTCCCCCCAGTGAGCGACGGGCAGAGCGGACACCCTCGGCGGCTGAGCCAGCCCCCAGGCGCTGTGAGCCCACTGGATCCTCCGTCCCTGCGGACTCAGCCGAACTCGCAGTCCAAACAGAACAGCAGCGGGGGGGGGGGGCATCGACCGCTGGCATGTGCACACTGACCCAGCTGACTGCCCCGCCCCGCCCCGCCCCGCCCCGCCCCGCCCCGCGTCTCGGGACCCCTCCCCCGGCTCCCCGGCCCCCTGCCGGGCCCGCTGCTGGCTCGACAAGGAAGTTCGGCCGGGCCAAGTGGACCGCTGCCAGGGCCATGTGGCCGCCCCGGGCCCGGCGCCGACGCCGCAGGGGGCGCGTTGCAGCACAGGTGGCGGGGGGGGGGGGAGGAGGGGGCTCGTTAGGGCTCGTAGGTGACCCAGTCTGTGGTTATTCGGGCCACAGCCGGCTGGTAACTGCTCGGCTCCTCGGGTCACGTCCTACGCGCGAGAGCTGTGCCAAATGGTGGGATGGCTGTGAGTCTCAGCCGGCCTCTGAAGATATCAGCTTCTGAGAAAGGTGCAGGCTAATATCATCGCTTTTTGCAATGCCTTTGCTTGTTTTTGTGAGCTCCTAAAGATTCCCTGAGACTGCCAGAAAGTCTATTTTTATGTTTTCCGTTAGACTGTGACATAAACGCATCTGGTCACCAGCTTCTCCCGTCTGTGACTCCTTCCTTCCCTCCCTCCCTCTCCTTCTCCCTCCCTCCCTCCCTCTCTCTCCCCCACTCTCTCTCTCTCTCTCTCTCTCTCTCTCTCTCTCTCTCTCTCTATCTCTCTCTCCCTCCCTCCCTCCCTCCCTCCCTCTCCCGAGGGGACTGCAGAGCTGCTACTTTGCCTATGTATGTACGGGCCAGACCGCGCCAGTATATTGAGTATCCTCGCCCAGGAGATCGCTCGCCGACCATACAGCCGAGTCCACGGGGATTTGATGCGCCAGCGCTGGTCTGCTGTGCGCTGCAATCGCCATGCGATTATGGACGGAGCGGGACGCGTGCATGATACCCTACAGATGAGTGAGCTGTGAGCCTTGATCAGTTCCATAACGCTTTGAAAATATTTCAAAATTAAAGCATTGGCCGATGATGCCAGTGATATCAGTTTTTGGCAGCTTTTGAGCTCGTTTTCTGGCGTCGACATTGTGACAACATATCACCTGTCGCCTTCCCTCTGCCCGCGTCCTCGTCCCACGTCCTCTCGGCGGCTCGTGCGTTAATTCTGACCGTTTGTTGCACGCAATGACGGCTCATTTCAATTACGTCGGATTATGAACGCTTCCTGCGGCCGGGCGCTGCCGACGGGCCGGCTGTCCTCAGTTGGTCGGGAGGGGCTGTGACGAGGGGTTCTGTGAAGTGGACTGCATCTCTGGGCGATTGAACAGAGTGGACTGTCCCGTGGACTAAGCCATGGATTTATTGGGGTGTGGACTGTAGACTGAACGATGGTCTGAATTTTTGACTTATAGCTCCGAAAGGCGGGGTTGATAATTATTGGTGAAGTCTTTACCTTCGGAGAGTGTATCTACCCCCCACCCGTTGGTTTTCGCGGACCCGATACTTCCTTGAAATCATCGACTTTGACCCCGTGAGTGTGCAGATGCCTTTGGATGCGTCGCGCTGCACTTTAGTAATAGTATTTGCAGTCTGGTGCTGCTGTCAGACAAGTGCATAGGGACGACAATGTAAACACGCGCGATGAATGTTGATGGCAGCTGGTTTGGCCGCTCCGTATCTTGTAGTCCGCAGTTGTATACAACCCTCGCATGTTGACTCGCACGAATGACTCAAACTATTTACAAAATTTTATTAAGGCCAAGTTTATTTAAGCTAAGTCCCGGCTTGCTGTGCTTGCCATTTCGTTTCATTTCCAGTTCTCGTTTCTGAATCTCGGGCCGAGCCTCTCGTGGACATTTGGCGTGACTGATATGCCGTCTGACCTACTCTTTGATCTGCCGTCCGTGACCTGTGACCTGTGACCTCTGACCTTTGACCTCTCTGCGTTCCAGGAGGAGGAGGAGACGACCGGCTCGGCGGCGCCGGCGACCAAGACAGACCAGATGGCCCCGCCGGAGCAGGGCGGCGCCCGTCCGCGGGCCGGCACCTGGTCCCTGGGACACTCGCGCCACCTATCTGGACCGCCAGGTGAGACCGCGGGACCGCGCCCGGTCCTGGTCCTGGCACCCTGTCCTAATCCCTGGTCCCGTCTCTGTCCCAGTCACAATCCTAGTCACAGTCCCAGTCCCAGTCCTTGTCCCAGTCCTGCCCCCGCCTCCGACCTCGCCCCGCCTAGCTGAGGCGGCACTGAAGTTAAGAAATTAAAGATGAGCTATTCGGTCGCGATTCTCGGTACAACACGCTTCAAGGGAGTTTGATTGTAGTTGTCCTGGAAAGTTGGTCACGCAGTGAGCTCGAAATGGATTAAGGTCCTGGCTGCTGCGTGCAGGCGTGACAATTGAGAGTCTGTGGTTCTGGGACGTGTAATCCTATATCGCCTGGGTGTTTGCCGCTGTAAGCATTTTCTGTGTAACTGGCGTATAAGCCCAGCGCGGCCGCCGCTTCAGATTTGATGAATTAGCGATGATATTTAACTCAATGTAGTGGATTACCAGGCTGGTTAGCCTTATTTGGTTGATTAAGTTTCAGACGTTTTTGACATGGCTCGCAGTTGTAATTGCTCTCATGATCCGCGTCCCTGTTTGTCTCTTCCCTTCATGGCCTGTTTTGCACCAATCCTTCATTTTTCTCAACTCTATCCCTAGCTCCTTTCCAGTGTAATTTTCGGCTTCCGTCTCTTACTTCATTGCCTTCTGTGCTGTCCTCCCCACATCAAACTAGTTCTATCTGCTACCTTTTCCATTTTGCATCCTCCGATCCTTCTTCTCTTCTGCCTTTTCTTTCGCCTTCGCCTTCACCTCCGCCTAGACCCTCTCGGCTCTCGTCCTCAGGCGTTGCCGCGGCTGCCCCGCGGCTCGTGTAGGTGGGAGTGGGGGGGGGGAGGGGGAGGGAGGGCCGGAAGGCAGAATGTGCTCGGTTTGTTTATCGTTGGCCCAATTTCAGCCTCCTATGTCGGCCGACGGCTGATCTGGGGCTGGGTAACACGTCAGCGCCATCTGTGCGATAATGGTGCTTATACTATAGTTACTGTATCCCGCCGCCAGGTGGCTGACTTGTTGCGCTAGCCCGGCAGTTGCTGGGGTATTTCGCCACCCACCGTTTGCTGGGGGGGGGAAGGGGGGGGGGCGTTAAACGCCCCCAGCCGATAACTCGAGAACCAATAGGCGCAGCGAAACGCACGAGGCGGCAAACGAAAGAACGCGACGAGACGCTTCAGATGAGTGCTTAAAAATTGAATTTTGAGGTCACAGGTCGGGTCAAGGTCAGGTCAAACACCTGAAATCGGGCTTTCAGTAGCATGGACTTCAGGACTTCGCAATGGGCGCCTCTCGTCATAAACTCTGTCAAAACGGTGCACAATCCATCATATAAGGCCTACAAGAGTGTCAGCTCCATGTAGGGGTCAGTCAAGCATAGGTCAGGGTCAAGGTCAGGTCAACCGGGTAGGCACATGTCCCCGAAAATCAAAACTGATATTCGCAGCCTGTGACACATGTTTTATAGGTAATTTGGGGCGTAGAACACGATGGTGACATTCATTTTATCATATGTGTACGTGTTTGGCTCAAAAAGTTCAATTTAAGAAATGCATGTATCATGGTCGTGAAGCAGTCACGAGAAATTTCCAAGATTCAGTTCAAGATTATGGAAAATGTGGAACGATAATCAATAATCGAAGATAGCCATTTGATTGATCATGGTATTGGCAGTCTAATGGCGTTTACGGCATGTCTGTATGTCTATTCTGTGATTTTATATGATTTTTTGAACATATGCCGTTTTTGGTCGAAAACTCAGAAATCATGACGTCACTAAAACCTCGATATCTCAAAAATTTTCCGACCGATTTTTTTTTTGAAACTTTGTCAAAATAGACTTCAATCAATTCCCTACAGGTACCGAAAATTTGGCGCGCCTGCGGCGCGCCGTTTTTATGCTATGGCCCGGCGAAAAAGTGGGGGCGTTTAAAGCCCCCCCCCCAGCAACTCGCGGGCTAGCGCAAGAGAGGTGTAGCGATCGATGTTGGTTTACAAGAGCCTTGTTATTTAATCCTACCAACAATAAGATTTTTGACCATGAACGACAACCATTGAGCTGCTGCTGCTCGACGTAGCTCACGGTTTGTGGTCGTTTGTTTTGAGATTCAGCATCTCGGAAACAGCTGCTATGAAAAATGGCATCCATAAAGCTGGCCAGATTGACGAGCTGAATTTAGCGTTCACGGAAAGGCTGTAAGGATAAGTTTGTTTTCGCCCAAAATAAACTACACAGACATATGTGAGGTTATTGATCTCGGGTATTGCGAGCTAGTTGAATGCCCCCTTGCATGCAATGAAGGATTATTGAATAACACTCGGTTGTTAAGTTTCCTTGTTTGCGGTTTTTGATGAATGCCTAATGTGATGTAAGTGTGTGGTCTCCGGACTAAAGTGGTTTGAGTTGTATTGTTTTGCATCGAGAGGCTCCTAATATGGGAGATATTTGTGCCAACAAAAATATTTTTCTAACAATCCCCCTTGGTATTTTGTGAACTGTTTTACCCGCTTTCCGATGTCTCCGGAACTGTTCGATAGCAACCATTCTCATTTATACAGGGTGTTGGTTAGTGGTTAGGTGTTGGTTACCCTCGCCATCGTCCCGATTCCGTCCTAGTTGTCTCGTAGCTGGCGTGCTGTCATCTCTGCCCCCTCTCTGTATCTTTCTCTCTCCCTCTTTCCCTCCTCCATCCCTCTCTCTCCCTCTCCCCTCTCCTCCCGCTGTCATCTCTCCACCCTCCTCACCTCAGCCCGTCGCCACCTCCACCGCGCTGCACCAACCTACCATCAGCTGACGGCCGCCCGTGCACACTGCACAGTGCACGGCCATGTGCACAGCCTCGTGCACGTGCACCTGGCCGGGCGTCCTTGGGCGGCCGACAGGGCGGCTCCGGCACGTCGGCTGATATTCGCTGACCGCTGTCGGCACATAGGTACTCTCCTGAGTGGTGGGTGGACCGCCCGACCGGGCTCAGGGCTGGGAGGGAGGGAGGAAGGGGGGGGGGGAGGGATGGGATCAGTGGGTGGGTGGGAGTCCTGTCATCATCACATTGCGTGGAATGGTATGGTTAATGGTTTTGAAGGTTTGGTATTTGCTTGGGTTTAGTCTATGCATTCCCTGCCATTGCTTTATGTCTGTGATCAGAAGGTAGCGTGTTTTGGTTACAGAAACTGTGAACTCTGTAATTAAATCTCCGATTGTGAGGGCGTTCAGTGACCTGTATCAGTGGATGGTCCATCCTCTACAGAGACCATGTTGTTTGCGGTGCTAAGGGTGTCTCGATGGATGAGACAGCGGGCCATGTGGTCGAGATGTCCAACCTATAACCGATGGTCGGTTCTTGTTGACGCAACAGACTGATGTGCTGATAGGACGATGGATCGGTCGGGGTGGGTCTGGGTTTAGTGGTTGTATAGTATTTGCTTCGCCATTGCACCGGTCGGACCTTTCGCGAAAAAGAAAAAATGCCAGCACTATGCTGTGTTCAGCAGTGGATCGTCTGCGATGGTAGACTTCGTACTTCCGTGTGACTGGTAGGATATTGATGAATGTCTGTCTTTGAAACTTCAAGCTTGATTTGATATAGGCCAGTCATTAGTGAGTTGTTAGGCCAGACATCATTGCTCTCCAGGCCGATCGAACGGAGACCGATTGAGCGTCGCCGCCGCCGAAACATGACGTGAAATATGGCGTCGTGTCACCGCCTGTCCGCCTGAACTGTGATAATGAGTTCCGTTCGACGATTTACGAGATCACCCAATCACCCGGGCACCGTTCAGTGTACTCCTTTTAGCGCCGTGGACCGCTGCCAGCCGCAAACACACCCATTTCAGACGGGCTGCGCGATCGCCAGAATGGTCGCGGTGGCCAAGTCTGCATAGCAATAGGCGTTGCCGTTGATCTTGCCCGTCTGAGATCGAGGCAATAACTTGAAGTGGACCTTGCTGGCCAGGCTGTCCTGTTGCCGCGGCTCGCTGCTGACATTTCTGCCCCCTCCATACCTCTGTGTCTGCCCCCTCCCCGTCTGTAGTAGGTACCTCCCTGTGCCCCGGGGTATGATGGCATCGGCATGCATAATTCGAGCAGCGACCGGCCCGGGTTGACCGAGCCGAAATGCGGCGGCACGGATCGCTGGACGGCAGTGCGGGGACGCCATGGAGCACGGAGGTGTCACGCTGGCGAGAGAAACTGTCACCGATAGGGTTGGTGACAGCGGTGGCAGCTGTGACTGTGCTGGCAGTGGGGGTAGTGACGGCGGAGGACGCTGCAGTGACAGAGATGGTGACAGCAGAAGTGACAGTGGTGGCAGTAGCAGGGAGAGTGACAAAAGCTGTGGCAGAGCCAGCAGTCGCGTGAAAAGTGTTGACAGCATCGGCAGGAGATGCCGTGATGGCAGCCGTCTCGGAGGCGGGGGTGATATCGGCAGTGACAGTGATACTAGCGGCAGCGACGATGAGAGTAGCGGCAAAGACGGCCGTGACAGCAGGGCTAGCATTGCTCGTGTTGGTGGTAGAAATATCGATGATTTCGATGATTTCAGCTCGGCGTACGAACTTGACATCGAAGCTGAGAGCGTGGTTGGTAGTGCAATCACGACCTCAACTGATTCCAGAGCTGCAAACACCGGTATCGTTGCAATACCTCAGACTGGTGTCGTCGCCTGCCGTAGTGCCAGGCATGACTCTGCAACTGCAAACGGTGCTATACGTCTGGCTAGTAAATCGAACTCCGCCTCCACGTCTAGCACTGGCACTCGAGCTACTTCTACATCATCTAGTGCCTCTGACGGTGCCGTGCCCCGAGTGCGGGCCGTGCGAAGCTGTGGACCCACCGCCAGTCCTGCCGCTGTGCGGAACTCCGGCGCCGGAATAGCGACAGGAGCGGCTTCTGGTGCTGCTGTGGAGAGTCGCAACGTGCGTGATGCGATGGACGAAGTACAGGGAGTTACAGATGAGACTGTCATCGGAGCTACTGTCGCCATCGAAGCCAGTGAAGGAGCTGCCATTGCAGACACTATTGGAGCTGGAGGTAGCATCAGCGCCGTCACCGCTGCCCCTGCCGCCGCCTCCGCCGCCGTCACTGCCGTCAGCGCCGCCTCCGCCGCCACCGTCATCGGGGGCTCCCCCAGCCTCGGCGCGGTCTCCGACCCCCACCCTGACCCCGGCCCCGGCGTGGGCGCCTGCCCCGAGCTCAGCTGCAGCGCTGGCACGGAGCCAGAGGAGCCCCCGGCGGCGGCGGCGGGGGCCCGTCGGAGCCACCCCGCCCGCCGCCGCCGACCCCCGCCCCGTCGGCGTCGACACCACGGCCGGTGGCGGACCCTCGACGGTCAGTGGTCGACGAGACGAGACGAGACAGACGAGACGTCGGGAAAGGGTCGAGAGGTGGTGGGTGGAGCGTGCTGAAAGGCTGGAGAGTACTCGTCAGTAGCATAGCGTGCAATGCTTATTGACTCCCGGTTGGAGGTCTGGGGTCGATAGGTTGCTGTTTGGCGATGAATATTTAATTAATTTATGTTTCCTATGTAGGCTTAGTCGTCAGGTAATCTCTTACGAAGTTGTTGATATATGCCGTCTTGATTCAACACGAACATCAACACGAAGATATTGCATTGCCATGTTGACATTGTCTTGCTCCATCCCTACCTTTGTTGTTCTGTTTGTGTCGCCCTTTGCTAAATGTAACCGCCCACACCAACACAGCGCGACTCGGTCGCCTTCGATAACCCTCACTCACTATGAATGACAGTCGCGACCTCCATCAACCCCCACGGCTCCCTCTGTGAACCTGTTTGACCCTAGTGACCTGTGCGCGACCCGGAGCAGACTCGACCCCCGCTGCAACTCTGAAAGGTTTCGATGGTTAACGCAAACTCCCAAAGGTCTCCTGCAGCGTGTTAACCCGGAATGGATGGTAGATCACAATGTGTTTCTTTAGGGTTATAAAGGTTCTTTGGGTCTGTTGTCCGTGGGCTGGTCTCGCAATCAGCATTCAGCTCATGGCTGTGTGATATGCATGAACTGCTGGTGCCAGATACGGGCTCTTGTCAGTGCATGATACCATCATTACGGGCGTGATGCATCATGACCTGCTGGCTTGGCCAACTAGCTGTGAACCTGCGGATTTATTCAGACCTTCATTAGGTACTCACCTTCGAGTGGCCTCCCACACCTTACGTTTCTGTTTTTACCACCTTTGTACAACTCCTCTCCATGTGACCCTCTATGACCCCAGTGACCCTCCAACTCACCTCACCCTGCCTCCTACCTCAGGCAGTCGGCAGCGGCGGAAATCGGGCGATGACATCGTCAAGCAGGCGGGCGGCGCCCCTCCGACGCCCACGGCGCCCTCCCCGGCGCCCACCGACTCGCCGAGCAAGAAGTCGTCGCTGCTGGACTCGTTCCGACCCCGCTCAAAGTCGGACGCGACACGCTCCATGAGACGGCCCAACATCATCAGCTCCATGAAGACATCGATTCAGGTGAGACGAGGGTACTGAGTGTGGGTGGCGTGAGTTCGAGACCCGCGAGCGGTGTGCGGTTTTTAGTGGATGATTTGATGTGATGAGTTTCATAGAAATCGGTTGTGTGGTTTGTTAGAAGGGTGCTGCTAGGAACGCCAGAAGCAGATTATGATGCCGTTCGTCATGTCCAATTCCACTCCTCATAGACCACAGTTGAATTATTCCTGTTAGATTTTTATATTTACCAGGAAGTTATATCTGTCTGTAAATTATCCTTATTGAAAATCTGAGCAGGAGCGAAAATGACACGGCAGGCATCGAGATTTAACTTCAAAATTAGGAGTTTCGGCGTCTTTGCCTCTACTGCCAATGGCCATAACGGCAGCTCACCGCGTGATGCCTGGAATTGTGGTTTCTGTCACAGCAACAGTGGGATTCCCTCTCCGGACTGACGTTAGCATTAGAGCGAACCCTGCGCCCGGTAACTGGAATCTGAATCCCCTAAGCCGACTATCTCGCGCCGAGATGCGTTATTTAATCCTCGGCCGACGAGCCGAGTTATTAGCGAGTGCGTGCTCTGCGAGAGATCACCTTTAGCATGCCCCGTGCTTGCTATCTGTGATGGAAGCCTACCGTTGACATGGTTTCTCACTTCCTTTGATGCTTTTTTTAGCTTGAAGTCATGTCTCATTTCATGCGCATGAGTTGTGCAATATGCAATATCTAAAGCATGTGCTCATTTTCGATAAGGTGTTGTCACAAGATCTTTTGTAGAAAGTAGAAACAGCTCCAAAGCAAATTTTGTCACTATTGAAACCAATGACATACCTACCCAGGGCTGCCTCAAGGGGCGCTGTTGTCTTTAGAGGATGAAGGATTTAGAGTGTAATTAGCTGATGTAAGGCAAATTAATGCAAACAAGCCCCAGCTCCGTTGTTGCCGTGTATGGGGTGTTTCCGCTCTGCCGGGTAATGTGTTAATTTGTAGAGATTAATGGCCGCAGCTCTATTTTAGGGCACGTCGTACGTCTCAGGCGTGAGTAATTACGCTGAAATTTGTGTGCGGCTGTTACGCTACTGAGCTGACGCTTAAGTTGTTTGGAAGGCCTCTTTGATAAGCGCGGACAAGGCAGATTGTTACCCCAATGCTGCGTCTTTTAAACTCAGATTTCACTCCTGTTTCGATGACTGAGCTGGGTCGATAACAATGCTCTGCTTGAGGGTCATGGTATTTCGGTGTAGCCGTTTTGGGTAACATGCTCAACAGACTTTACGTTTGCCTAGGCTGAACCCTTGAATTATAAACATTCCTTTTTATGGAACCGGCGCTGGATCCGGTGGACCAGAAAGGTCTTCTCCCATCCGCTCTGCTCGTTCTCTCCCTCGCGACACCGCTGTACCCAGCGCAGCCCGCAGTCGGGACTGAGAAGGTGTCTGCCACAGTGGCATGGAGTGACTCCACCCTCTCCGTGTGAACGGGCGGCTGGCACGCGACTCGCCCGGCGCTCCGCCGTCCCGCCGTCCCGCCGTTACGCCGTCCTCGGGGCGATGTGTCTTGGTAAACAATCCCTCCGTTCTGTGAGCCTTCCGTGTGTGCTAGGAGTTGGACAGCTACACAGCTTCGTTACACGACAAAGCGGTTGTGGTGGACGGGCACCCCAGGTGGCTATGTCATGGTTAACATAATTCCTAGCTGAAGTTTAAACATTTATTTATTAACAACATTTCATCCATATGCTTTGCGCGAACTGAAATATGCGCATGGAGTGAAGCGATATTTTATTTTAGAGTGCTCAGTATGGCTGCAGGAAATCTCGTGAGCCCAGCGTAAGCCTGCTGCTTTATTATTTCCGCTGAACTTGGCTACCGGCAGTGCTTATCCAAAGCGTATTATTACCGCTCAGCGCGCCCCTTAGCTAACGACGCCAGACTGCCGGCACAAAGCAAACATGATTAGCCCTGCTCTCCGTCGGTCGAAATTCTCCTCCCGCGCTGTGCTGGCTCCCGGAGCGCCACGGTCGTGTGCACGGGCCCGCGGTCGGGGCACGTGCCACTTGTCACGTGGTGGATTCAGCGCACGGGTCGCATGTCCTGTGACCCGTGAATGTGCATAGAATGCGCGCTCATGGACCTCTGGCTGGGGCAGACATGGCTTATCAGAGTTCAAGGGCAGGAGGAGAGTACATAGGGTACTGCAGCTCCGTACCTTCGAAAGGCCGCCAACTTTACAGTTTTATCTTTGTGTTATTCCTGCGTAGTGCGTAGCGATTTTGTCCGCTGCTATAGCGGCTTTTCAGCAATAGCTTAGAGCTTCTTTTTGTCATCCAGACGAGGAGCTGCTACTTAGTTTGTAAGCTCTCTTTGACAGTGTAACATTTTCCTTAAACAAACTTTGGCAAGCATTCGATAGCATGGGAACGAGTTGCTTGTGGCCATCGGCAACTTTCCCTAACTACCTTTCAACAACATTATATGGCCACTCGAGCATATTTTGTTTAAATAGGTTGTGTTTAAAGTGTATCGCGAAATTGGATGTTCCAAGAATTCTGCTGACCGAAAGGTCACTGCTTTGGAAGTCCGATTTCACATTTCCGTTTGAAGCTGGACCCTGCTACGCACGTGTTCCCGGAATTTCTCCCGGCTGCACTGTCGTGTTTGGTCGTAATAACTTTCAATGGAGCTCAGAGATATTGCTCCGTCTGCGTCACGTATCGAGGAAGCCCTGCTCCGGGACCTCTCCTCTCGCCATCCCAAGTGGTGTGTAATTGCCGCGGTCAGAGACCGAACTCGCCCGCGGGCGGGACTGGACGTGATTGGCACCCGCGGGGTTTCTCCTCTCGCATTAGTTGCGTCATGCGCGACCGACTGCGGGTCGGCGTCCTGGTAATGCCAGCGACCGGCTAAATGTATGGATTCCTCTGACCTGGTAAAGCCAGTGGCCAGCTCAATATACCCTATTCTGGTAATCTACTGACAGACTCAAAATATCCTTACTTTGCCACTGGCCGACTCAAAATAGACGATGCCACACCAAATGCGATCTCGGACGTCGAAAAGGCTAGCACGCATGAGTGAGTGCTGTCGACGCTGAAAGAAGTGGTTAACTTCTGTAAAACCAAGTGTCTGAAAAATGAATGATCGAAATGTCTGGAAGCTGGCAGCATGGCCTATGATTCTACAAGTCCCGTGCTTTATGCTCCAGTGCTCAAACTTAGCTGATAAGTGTCGGATGGAAAGTGGAATAACAGGGGGCTTTTGAACTGCCGAGCTGCTTTCAAAGCTAATGAAGCCCCATGAATGAACGCTACAATGGGTCCCCACCAGCGTCATTACGGATAAGTTTACCCCAACCAGTTGAATGAGCTTTAAACCGCCTCCGTTCAGCGGAAACTTCGAGCATGCAAGTCACGTGACTGAAGCCCTGGACGCGGCTGCAGCCGCAGGGTTTCAGTGTTCGGTGCGCCTGGCCACGTGACTGACGTGACCCCACCAGAGGGGTCACGTCTGGTCGACGCGGTCGACGCGGTCCCTGCCCTGTCCCTGACAGTCAGGGCACCCTGACGGCCGGAGGGTCAGGGTCTGACGGCCGAAGGGTCAGGGTCTGACGGTCAGGGCAGCTCCCGCGCACTCCCCGCGGCCGTTCGGTCTCGTCTCTCGTGGACGGTTCGCCGTGCTGCAGACGGGGCTCGTCGGACAGGTTTCTGATCTGCGGTGGGTTCTGAGAACCGGGCAGGAGTGCCCGCACGAACTGTTAGATAGGCATGGATGGCACCGATGTGTTTTATGGCTTTGCAGCTGTTGTGAATTTTCTGCTGGTGGGTGCTCAAGGCGAGTCCCATATGCATCGTCAAAGTGCATATTGTTGGGTAAAAATGAGATACCATCTTGACCTAGTGCACTATGCACTTTTTCAGTACGAAACCAAAATGCATCAGTCCAGTCCTTGAAAGTTAGATCAAAGATTGCTCAATCCTGATAAATTTGTTCGCTTTTCACTTGCTTCTACTGACAGGTGTTGGCAGCTAATGTGACGCAACATCCTACTCAGACGTGACCCAGTGGGTGCAAACGCGCCGCGCTGAGCTCAAAACACACCCGGATGATACCCAAACTGGACAAATCTGGCGCAAACCGGACACGGTAGTGCGCTGGAGCGGCGGCCAGTTTGACGGGGACCGGGCAGCCGCCGTTAATTGTGTCTCCGTACTGAGGTCCCCTGCGCACCGTGCGTGGTGGCGTGTCGGTTGCGTAACGCGGAGAGGGACACCGACCCCGTGCTGCTGACCGGCCGGCGCGGCGGTGATGGTGGTTGCTGCAGCAGCTGTGACGGTAATGGTGACGGTAGTGGTAAAAAAAAAAATATGGAGAAGTTAAGACGACCCCGATGGGTCGGCGAGCGTCCGCCGTCCCTGTTTCATGTCCCTGTCCTCTGGACAGTCTCTGTCCTCTCTTCCCTGCCGTTGTCCCTGTTCCTTGTCCCCTGTCCTTTGTCCATGTCTCGATGCCTGTTCCTTCCGCCGCGCCGTCCTCTCTTCCGATCCTCTGCCCTGTCCCTGTCTGCCGACAGAAGGCCGCGCCGGTTCTTGGGTCCAGCTGACGCCGGCCGGTCGAACTGTGTCACCGATTGGCGCCGGCTGTGGCGCAGCCGAGACTGTGAGTGATGGCGGGTGACTGCGGCGGTGACGATCGGTGGCGATAGCAGACCCGGCCCGACCCGACCCCGCTCCCGCCCGGCCAGACTGCGTGGCGCCTCACATTGTTCTCGGAACTCAGCCAGACTCACGTCAGGAGACAGCTATTTATTTCAGTGTAGCAGGTTTCCTCTCAATGATAATATTTTTGGAATGTGTTTCCTTTCATTTCAAACGTTTGGAACGTCTTCCTTTCATTCTCGTGAAATATCACGAGAATGCTGCAAAATTGTGCAGCTTTTTATCTGTCTATAAATGCCTTCTTTTTACCTACCTTCGGTGTGAATTGTTACCTACTGCCGACGAAGTTCGAAGATAACCTTTTATG